AATGTACATTCAGGGATCTAAATGTACAGTGAAGGGGGTTGACTGTAGCCTATCAACAATCTTACCTGCACCTAACAACCTACCAACAATCCTATTTGCACCTAACAGCCTACCAACAATCCTATTTCACCTAACAACCTAGCCCTAACCATATAGGTACAATATATACTTATATATATATAGTGCGGGATGCCTGTTACCATGAGACCTAAGGCAACAGACGGACGGTGGGAAGGATGAAGGGTGTATCGGTAGGGATTTTCTCACTGCCGATCCGCAGCCTCACGGACCGACCAATAACAAAGGCTGAGTGATGCCAGAGCTATCGGTAACTATTTATAGGCGCAGTAACAGTGAGAGGAGTCGATGGTCTCGTCGAATGAAACAGCGTTGCTCGAAGCGTAGAAAGAGAATTTATTAAAGATTTACATGCTATTTATATTAATATATTTACATGTATAGGTGTATTACTTATACGTATGCATTTGTGTGAAACCGCGTAGATCAACACTGTTGCGACACATAACTACGATTGAGGTTGATTCTGGTTCATCGCGGTCACTGCCCTGCTGCGTCGGCATGTTCACATCCTCGCGTGAACAGTGGCAATGCCAGTCTTTTGGGCACCCTACCTCACGGTAGCGATGAGGGAAATGTTTTCTTTGATGCGTTATGATATATATATTTTTTTAAGGTGTAATATATTTTAGTTTTAAATAATTTATGTTATACGTATTAATACGTATATGAATTTACATAAATTTATGTGACACAAAATAAATCTATGTACATACATAAATTGCTTCACTAATACTTATTACACCTTTTTTTTTTGACGGGGGGAAACCTTCAAAAGGCGCTTAGCTTTTTTGGGGAAAAAAAGACTAGGGAGTGTGGGATTTTTACCTCACTAAAACCTCCCCTGTGGCCACCATCCGCACCTAAAGGAGGCACCAGGTCCTATTAGTAGACCAACCCCGGAGCCCCCACGGTGCAACGCCTGTTACGGCAGGTGCCGTATAGGGAGGTCCCTATGGAGACCTATGTGTCTACCTAGATCCCCTCTGTGCAGTGCACGGCGGCACGTGACCACTGTGCCGCCGTCATCCTTGAGGTGATTATGTGGGCGCCTAGATTTCCCACTCTATGCGCCCATGACCCCAAAGGTTTGCCTGCGAATATTGTAGGCAGGGAATCAACATACTAGGCGCCGCGGCGTTTGTTTCCTCGACGCCTTCGACGGGAGGGGATCTGCCCTCTCACGATCCCGCTCAGCAGCCTCCTTTTGGGACATTACAGTCTCACAAAAGGAGACCACTTCCCTCCAATTTTTTGTATCTGCCAGCATAGCCTTAACTACCGCTGGCAGAGACAGGTCTCGCCCGATCCTGGCAACTAGGACCCGCCGTGCAGAGGCCCACGCTGGGCACTCCTCGAGCGTGTGCTGTGCGGAATCCAAGTTGCCTCCGCAGTGGTGGCAATTTGTCGCAACCTCTCGCCCAATCTTATTTAGGTATTCACCGAAGCAACCATGTCCGGTCAGCACCTGAGTGAGCCTGAAGGAGATGCGCTCCTCTCTCTTCAGCCAGGCTTCGAAGTGCTTATGCATTTTATTATTTTCGAATACTTATTACACCTACTGTTGCATATCTCTGTATCGCCCCGTGGTTGACCGTTAGAGAAAGCCACCTGGCATTAAGTCCGTCATCGTATGCAATATATACATAGAAGTGTTAATAAAATATAAAAATGTTAATAATTATAACAATTACAACATATTTAATGTTTTAAATATTTCACTAGCATTGAGGAGTAACTAATTTAACTCGTCGAGTACCGTCATTATAGACACAATTATAGAATAATAGGTTGCGGTCACCAGTGACCGCTTGGTGTTTGACAGTTTAAAACGAATGTAAACACTAACAAACATAGATGGAATCTACATAAAAATATAATATTATATTATATTATATTAAATGTAATATTATATGGATAATCTTATTACTTTTAAAATTATAAGACAACAAATTGTAAAAACTAGATAAAATTATTGTAAAATAAATGCGTTTGAATGGGTCGATTTCGCTGGCTTCGTCACGGTAAAGTTCCGGAGTACCTTATTGACCCGAAAACCGTACCAGATCGTAGTCCACATCGTCAATCAATCTTCGGTTGTTCGGAGATCATCGGGAATCATCGGAGTACTCACAGCAATACTCACACCTTACAATTCTTCCACCATCACAACCATATGCTACGGTATTACAAGTGGCGGGGGAAGGCGGCCCGACGGACAGAGAGGTCCACCAATCACAGTCGCCTATGTCTGTCTCGCTCTGGAGAGCGGCGACGCAGTCAGTATTGGGAGGCATGTTAGAGCGGGTGGTAGGTGGGCAGGTTACGTTTTTGTTTTTGACTATAACAACGCACTTAGTTCGGAATGTTGACGTATGCATTTTATATATTAGTAGTTTTATCATTAACTTATTAAGTTACTATTATATTATTATTATATTAGTAGTATATATTATCATCTATACTATATATTATGTAATTCTTATAATTCATGGTTATATTATATACCTTACATATAATTATACGTATGCGCCCGACTTCGAGGACTCTTTTCCAAGTTTTATTGAAGAAAAAATTCAAATTGTTTCTGTCGTTTCAAAAAACTATATCACATTAGAATGCATTCGGATTATACTATTATTTGATTTTGTCACTTCGGTCCCAAATTTATGTACTATTTGCGCTCGACCCACCTCTGGTCTGCACCCCTTCTTTTGGAAAAAAATGACCAAATCATTAGGCGAACTTTGTCCTCAATTTTGAATGTGGCTCTTGATGACCGAGCTTAGAGACAAGCTACTCTGCCTATCCGCATGGGTGGGCTTGGCGGCCGTAAAATTTCCAGTGTAAGCCTACCGATTTTCATTTCTTCAGCCCATGGTACTCAAGAATTAACAAGGAAAATTCTTTCTCAATCACTGGTTAATTTTGATGTACCATGTTTAGTGGAAGCTGTGAATGCTTGGAAAATCCCTTGCCCAAATATTGACCCCCCGTCAAATCACTCTCCCAGAGACAATGAGACGAGCCGCTGTGCAGAAAAGTGAGCGAAAATCTCTTGAACTCCTCTTGTTCAACTGCAGAGAGAGATCGCCTTTTGGCTGTGGGTGAGTGGGAGTCGGGTTATGGCTTCTTGCTTTACGTTCGTCTAACCTAGGTACTTTGTTGGACGACACCACGTTCCGCGCTGCAATTTGTTTAAGGCTTGGAGCTTCATTTTGTTCACCTCATCGTTGTCGTTGTGATGAAGATGTCAACAGCCTTGGACACCACGGCTTGTCATGTAACCGTAGTGCGGGCCGTTTTGCTCGACATGCAAGTTTTGATGACATAATTCGTCGAGCTCTTGCCTCCGTTGGCGTGCCAGCTACTTTAGAACCTAATGGCTTGTTACGCGACGATGGCAAGAGACCCGACGGTATGTCATTATTCCCTTGGAAGATGGGTGGCTTTAGTATGGGACGCCACTTGCGTTGATACTCTGGCGCCATCCCATCTTCCAAGCTCAGCGTGTCGAGCCGGTGCTGCCGCTGCTGCGTCCGAGAACCTCAAACGGCGAAAGTATGCATGATTGGCAATTATGCTTTCGAACCGTTTGGGGTTGAAACTTTAAGGTCGTGGGGTCCAAGTGCACATCTTCTTTACAAAGATATTGTAAGGAGGATGGTTGACACTTCAGGTGATCGAAGGGCTGGCCACTATATTGGGCAAAGGTTAAGCATTGCCATTCAACGTGGCAATGCTGCCAGTCTTTTGGGCATCCTACCTCACGGTAGCGATGAGAGAAATGTTTTCTCTGATGCGTTATGATATATATATTTTTTTTTAAGGTGTAATATATTTTAGTTTTAAATTATTTATGTTATACGTATTAATACGTATATGAATTTATGTATATAGATTTATTTTGTGTCACATAAATTGCTTCACTAATACTTATTACACCTACTGTTGCATATCTCTGTATCGCCCCGTGGTTGACCGTTAGAGAAAGCCACCTGGCATTAAGTCCGCCATCGTATGCAATATATACATAGAAGTGTTAATAAAATATAAAAATGTTAATAATTATAACAAGTACAACATAATTAATGTTTTAAATATTTCACTAGCATTGAGGAGTAACTAATTTAACTCGTCGAGTACCGTCATTATAGACACAATTATAGAATAATAGGTTGCGGTCACCAGTGACCGCTTGGTGTTTGACAGTTTAAAACGAATGTAAACACTAACAAACATAGATGGAATCTACATAAAAATATAATATTATATTATATTATATTAAATGTAATATTATATGGATAATCTTATTACTTTTAAAATTATAAGACAACAAATTGTAAAAACTAGATAAAATTATTGTAAAATAAATGCGTTTGAATGGGTCGATTTCGCTGGCTTCGTCACGGTAAAGTTCCGGAGTACCTTGTTGACCCGAAAACCGTAACAGATCGTAGTCCACATCGTCAATCAATCTTTGGTTGTTCGGAGATCATCGGGAATCATCGGAGTACTCACAGCAATACTCACACCTTACAATTCTTCCACCATCACAACCTACATCGGTGTGCTGGGGCGTAAACGGACACCACTGTGTCATCGAGTTTTCCAAATCGAATCAAATCATATTCATTTGCTAAAAACTAATTAAAATAAATATGTCAAATCTGTTATGTCTAAACTATATAAGTCAATTGCATTTTATTTATTTATTATTAGTCAAGTGTATCTTTTAGAAATTCGTCGACATTATAATATGCCTTTCCAATGAGAAATGATTTTACTTTTTTTTAATACTGCACCATTAAATTCTTTCCAACTGTGTGGAATCTTGTTAAAGATTATAGGAGTCATGCATAGAACATTTTTGCGCATAAATGCCGTACTTGACGAATGTGAACAAAGTTTATTATTATCGCGTCGATTTCGAGGAAACATTTCAGCAATACGTGGGAAAAGATGAGGACTATTTTTTACAAATAAAGCCACTTCTAATACGTAGATCGATGAATATGTCAGTATTTTATTTTATAACGCATGAAATATGGCTTACACGAATCTCTAACGCTCAATCGGATTTTCGCCAGTTCGATCGAGTTAACCTTCACTACGATTTATATGGCGCGTCTCGCACGAACCGTGTCGATGCCATACAAATCATAGACATTGACGTTTTCGTAGTTGACTTTCTGTTTTAGAGAAACGAATATTTTAGAAAATATTCATGATTACATTTTTAGCCCTGAAAAGGGCTTTTTGGTGTGTATCGCCTGCCGACGACGCAAATATCGAAATTTATTATATACTATTCCGTAGTTTCCGTTTGATGAAAGGTGAGGGTCTTGTAGTTTGGATGAGCGATCCGGCTTCGACGGCGCTCTTTAGGTCATTTCTGAGGAACGGAGCCAGTTTCTCGACATCGACCTTGTACTGTTCGGCGATATACTTCTTGATATCCTGCAGAGAAGAACCGTCGAGTTCATTCATCGTTGAAAAACCGTCGTCTATGAGATGTGAGCAAGTGTACTTGGCGATAGCCTCGACACCCTCTCTTTCGGCATGCTTGGCGAGATCACCGGATAGCGAAGAACCGTTCTCCATTGTCTCATACATGACATCAGGAAGTTACATAGAGCTGTATCGACTTTGTATAGCTCCAGTACCCTCATGAGCCTTGTATGTGGCACGGAGTCAAAGGCCTTCTTATAATCTATCCAGCATCCATATGCTGGATAGATTATAAGAAGTCCACACATTTGTCCATACAAATTCTTGTGAGATCTACGGACCTGTTGGCAAATGGACATGTCAATGAGGAGCAGCTCCTTAGTACCACAGGATCCATTTCTACATCCATTTTGAGAGACCGACATGATATTATTGTCTTCAATGTGTTTATTACGTTTTGCTCTCAAAATGGATGTAAGAAGTTTGTAAATTGTCGGTAGGCACGTAATCGAACGATAGTGTTTAGGTTCCGTGGTACTTCCAGATTTATGGAGCAGGTGAGTTAACCTTGTCGTAAGAAATTAGGGCAAAGACCAGACTCCAAAGCTGAGTGGAATTGAGATGCTAAGCAATTATACGAACTGATAAACCATCTTATCCAAAAATTATGCAGCCCATCTAGGCCTGGAGCTTTCCAGTTGGCCAAAGGATTGGCTACTTTGGATACATCTTCTGCTGTTATAAAAATTGGTTACATTTCTGGTATCTGTTTGCATTTTGCCTCGACCTCCTCAATCCAATCCCCTTCGATATGACTAACAGGTGCCGACTAAATACTGCGCCAGAACGAATTCATAGCATCAACATTTGGTAGGCACGCATCAGTCCTAGTCTGTTCGTTTTGCTCCCAAGTTATATACACCCCACCTTTTATCTCTTTGGAATGTGCGATTCTGGGTATATCGTTTCACTCTCTTCTTATATCGTCTAATACGGTTCGCACATTCATGATTCTTCTGTTTCAGGAAGTCAACACGATCCGTAATATGTGAGACGTAATCCTGAGGCCAAAATCAGTCC